GGGGTGGAAAAATGGCCACGGACGTGTCACGGGAGGGAAAGTGGCCGCGTATCCTGTTCATACCCCAAGGCGGAGTTCGCAAACCAAGGTAAATTTTTGCGGCCGGAGCTGATCGTAACCCAAAAAGTTCGTTAACAGAGGCGTTCGTAACCCGAGGTACCACTGTACTTATCTTCAGATTGCTTGACCTGGAGAATGCCATTGCATTATGTGTTCTACCTAGAAAATAAAATGGCATGAGGCAGCCCCCTGCTTTTTGTCCACAGTCTTCAGCTGTACTCATTTAAGAATCCTTCAGTGTGAGGGCAGGATTGCAATCTCGAAGCACAATGGAGCTGAAACATCTGCACCAAATTTTAGATTACCTCCCGCAACTCAGCTTGGAATCATTTGAATTTCTTGCTTGTCTTGGTTCTTTATCAGCACAAGATCCCCATTTTCCCACCCTTGGGAAACCATTTAAAATTACCTTTTTGACCATCCCATTAACTGATACATTGAAAGGGACCTTCACCCTGTCCCATTTCTACAGAAATGTTTGTATTTTGCTGAAGTGATAGGACACAGGAATCCCGTAAGGTATTGTTTGTGGAATAAATAGGAGGAAATATTTATTCTTGTTGACTGGCCGTTTGAGATGGGCCAGGGAGAAAGGTGGTGAGTTTAGTTACAGTTATTTAAAAAATACCATTTCATCTTAGACTGTGCCTTCTCATATTTTAACGTAACACTCAGGCAACTATGGTGGGAAATCAAGTTTCCTGATGATTGCTTATGAACTTATTTATATGTAAAACATGCAGTGGGTTCCTTTAAATTTCATTAAATGAAACTCCCACTATACATCGTTCACGTCTCTCCTGATTTTTGCAACATTAACGGGGGCGGGGGGGGGGAATGCATGCTTTTAACATAAAGCAAAGAGGTTTCTTTTTCTTGGCCTTCCCTTCCAGTGGCAGTTCTTTTCTAAAATGAACTCTGGGGATATTTGTCATGAGACTGTAGTATTTTTTAAACATTGACATATACATGGGGAGAAACCAATGTGATGAGAAGCCATGAAAAAGGCTGGTCTCTGTTTGCAGCACATGTCTTTGTATGAAACCTCTGCTGAGATAGTGTCACTTTTATTTTTAGTATCAAGTGACAGGCAGTGTTTGTTTTCAGAGATGATTCGATGAATCCTTCCACCATCTATGCAGATTCTAGATTTTCATAGAATTGCAATGCTTGGAGGCTGAATTATATTTCGGCATAACGTAACCTGGTGTAATATGACTCCAACATTCCACACAGAGTGGACCTTATAAACGTAGCTATTCTGGCAAAGCAAGGTGTTAAAATTGTGGTCCTCTCCTTCATGGACCAGGCCTGGGAACATACAGCACCTGTTGATGACCATTGCTAACTCCTGGAATTCCCTTGCCTTGCTCTCCCTCCTTATATTTATAACTTTTTAAAAACTCTACTGCTCATCAGGGAGAAATACAGAGATCAACAGAAAATGCAGTGTCTGATTCCAGGCTTGTTAGCTAAAAAGAAAGGCCCCAAAATGCAAAGGGAGACGTTACCAGAGTAACCTCTCCTTTTTGCTAGTTGAAGCAGAAACATAAAAGCCATCTGTTAGGAACAGGCAAGTTCTGAATGTATGCTGTGATCTCACCTTGGTTTCTCTCTGAATCTCTTGTCTAGCCTAGTATCTTGGAGGGGAGATTTGGATGAGGACTGCACTGAGGCTAAAGGCTAAATGATCTCTTTGTACTCCCTTACAAGAACATTTATTCCAAGGGGCTTGGGAGGGATGGCAGATGGCACGTGTGTGCCCTTTAGCAGGAGGGCAGCAATTCCTGTAAATTCCTTCTGTGACAGGGCTGGACTCTTCCATTTACAACTTCCTACCTGAGTTGTTAGGATGTCTTAGACCTTTCTACCCAGCTTATTCTTTCACTCAATTTGATTTAATTCAATTTGATTTGATTTCCATCAGCTTCAGATAGCTCTCGCAAACCTAATGGCCTAAATAGCCTCTAAAACTGATGACCTTGTAAATGTCCCTTTTGGACTTTGGTCTCAGCATAAAAGCTGGGCTTTAATTCCTGTAGACTTGGCTTTGCCAATTGCACAGCCATTTCTGTCTGTCATTTTAAGTAGTTTCCCTGCAAACTAACATTCTTAGTGGAAGACAGATTGTCGCTCTGGGTAACAAATTTCCCCTTCCTTTTCTCTCACTGTGTTTTTAGTTGATTATTGAATTGTCTTTGTGTCACCAAAGTAACCGAGGCATCCAATGAGGGTCAAGAATATTTGTAAAAATGTAAGTGTCTGAAAAGAAAAGATTGGTTATAGTTCTCTATCAATTGAAATCCATTTCTGCCTTCTACTTTTTGTGTTGAAGCCATAATTCATCAGTCTTTTGCAATTTTTTTTCTTAAAAAACTGATTTTATTATATAATAGTTAAAGTCTTCTTACAAGCAAGTTGGGTCTTGCCAGTTTTGTTGACCGGAGTGCAACCATGGTTTGTCATTGTTTTCTTCAGGAATAGCTTGCAGGTCTGGTATTCCCAGGAGATTTTCCATCCAAGTAGTTAACCATGTCAGCAGCTAAGCTGCTTAGCCTCCAAGATCAGACAGGTGTTACTACTTCCTGAAGACTATCTTAGGAATCAGGATAACCTAATAATATTTCTGGGGAGTGGAAAGGGGGCAGTAATTTTTCAAGGCCAAGCTACCTAAATGGATTCTGACAACTGAAGAGGCACTGTTGAAGGAGTCTTCTGAATAATTTATTTGGTCTTAAGAAAACATCCAGCTTCTTTTTTGAACAACAATCAAAGCCGAACTCGATGTAAAGTATTATTTCCGTTCTCTCTCTCCTCCCCCCCCCCCTTTGCAGTTTGAATTGAGCTGTTTCAGGTCTTTTGCTATAATTATGAAAGAAAGGCTATTCTTTGGAAAAAAAAATGCCTAGAATTTTGAAAAGATGGGAACATTGATTTTTTTAAAAATAGAATCTGGCGGCCCTAGTGAGAGTTTAATGAAATTCATTCAGTTTTCTTTCATAAATAATGCAGTACTTGGCGCTTGATTAGGTGAAGCGAGGAGGACTTGGTGGTTAATGAGATGCATAGCAAAAGAGATATTGCTTGCAGATGGTTGCCATTTCCAATGACATATATGCTTGTGTGTTTGAGCCTACACAAGGGCTTTGTAAGAAAGACTCCAAATTGGAAGGCTGTATTTTATTAAAAACCCAAACAAAAAAGCATAGGATTGAATGCAAGCAGACTTTTTTGGTCTCTATTCAAATGCTGATATTGTTTACTGGAACAAAGACTGCACTCTGCACTTTGATTGAGATGTAAGACCACCTCGAGCACTCTCCACCCCCAACATACATACGTAAAATGGTGAAGTGGAACAGGAAAAATGCTCAGCACATCCCCCTGGGAAGCTCCAGTCAAAGGAAAAGTGGGGCAGGGTAGAGAGTAGAAATCCATCTTTTGCCTCTTGAAGCCTTTTCCCCTTTGGCTTCAGATGCTTTTCCCCCTTGACTTTTGGGGTACAATCCAAAAAAGGGGGCTGAACGTTTGCATGTTCTGCTACCCAAAACAGAATCCTCCCTGCCAGACCTCCAAAGGAAGGTAGCATTCTGTGGATGTGTGTTTTTCACCCACAGGCCATGGATCAGCCCCATTGAATGCTGAAGACCCCCATGCATGGGGTTTGTTGCTCTTCCCTGGAGGCCCTGAGTCCCTTTATGAAAAACAAAAAGAAGGAATTAAACCTTGCCATGCTTCAGGTCTTATAAGAAGCAAGGAACATGAAGTAGTTTGGATGTTTTGTATTTGGTAAGATGATCTGATTCCTATTTGTTCCACAGGTTGTATCCACGTCATGCAAGTGCCCTCAACAACCTCGGGACATTGACCAAAGACCTGGCACAGGCAAAGGAATACTACAGTAGAGCTCTCCAGCTGAACCCACAGCACAATAGAGCCCTCTTCAATCTTGGAAATTTGCTCAAGTAGGTGTATGGGCTCCTTCAAGTACTATGGGATCAAATTTGAGATACAGCTATATCTCTCTATATTTTTGCTGCTTTCAAGTCAGTCTTGACCCCTGGTGAGACAAGTCCCTGCAGTTTTCCTGGCAAGATTTCAGAAGTGGTTTGCCCTTGCCTTCTTCTTCCTAGGGCTGAGAGGGAGGGACTAGTCCAAAGTCTCCCAGCTGGCTTCGTGCCTAAGCTGGGACTAGAACTCACAGTCTCCTGGTTTCTAGCCTGGCATCTTTAACCATTACACCAAACTGGCATATATGTGTATGTGTGTGCATATATGTGCATGTGTATATGTATGCATGTATATACTATACATATAATCTACCGCACTAGTCCAATACAGGAAGTTTTTCAACTTCCCAGTCTATGGTGGAGAGAGAATGACTGGCCAACATCACCCAGCTGGCTTTCAAGGCTAAGGGAGTACTAGAACCCTCAGCTAGCATTTAACCACTATGCCACACTGGCTCAGAGAGAGAGAGAGAGAGAGAGAGAGAACCAATCCAACACAGGTCTAACTGGACAACTCTTTAGCTTTTTGCTTTGGGTGATGCAGAGACGAAATCCTTCCTTGGTCTCTTCCATTGTTTCAGAGTTGGGTTTTTGATTTAGTGTTATGTGTATCTACCTGTTACGGCTTAGTATGAACACAACCAATTAGATATTTGGGGCATTGCAGTAAACCATTTTTCATTGTGATGGCTATGAGCCACAAATCATTATTTCATTGAAACAAGTCAGCCTAAATTATGGATTATGAGACTGGCTTGTTTCAACAAACCATTGTTAAGATTAACCTCAGTCTAGGGCTTAGCTGTAATGCTAAGCTGCAGTTAATAAAGAATTAAAGTGACAGTGAAATCTCCTTGTTGCCACACCAAGGAGAATAAGAAAGAGAGTGCAAGGCTCACTAAAGCTTGTTCCAGTTAGGATAACTGTGCCTTGAACCTTCTTGTAAAATTGAAACTGGCCTAGTGTTAGAATTAACTACAGAATTAAGAGAAAAAGTTATGCAAGTATACACTTATAATGATTCTCTGGAACTCACAGTAAAACATTTTATGATATCTATCTATCTATCTATCTATCTATCTATCTATCTATCTATCTATCTATCTATCTATCTGGGGGGTGGGCAATAACAGTGTTTTTTCCCACGAAAGCACTGAAAATAGCAGCTTTGTGCAACTACCTCTTACCTATCTATTTACTCTTTGATATTGATGGCACCATGCTCTGTTTTTCTAGGTAATAAATCATCCTTGATATATAGTCTTTAATGCTAGATTGGTATAATAGAGCTGTATCGTCTAAACCCCAATAATAGTTGTTATTAATCATACCCATCAGCTTTTCTGTATGCCTGCCTACAAAATTCGAGGAGGAATACAATATTCAGAAATCCAGTTAGAATCATACTGCTTATCCAACAGTAGCTGCTGTATTTTGAAGGCAACAAAAATAATACGGTTCAAACTGCACTTTAAACAATAATAGAAAAATGGACCTAAAAGTAATAACATGTAGACTTTTAAAAAATGCAAGTCTCGGGGTGGATGGAGATGACATGTTCATTCATTTGCATGGCAGTAATCTAATTACATGAAAAGGATTGTTGATATAATAAGCATTTCAAATTGCCAAGCAATATAATAATTACAGTCATAATGTAATGTAATGTAATCAGGGATACCCAACTTTTTCTGTGCGAAGGGCTGTTCTTAGCTTTTGGGGGTTGCATTCCAAAAATAACAGGTAGAGCCAGAACAAAAGCTGAATTTGATTTCATTTAAATTTAATCTAGTTAATACAATTACACTCTTTTTCCATAGTTATTTTTTTCCTCTTCTCTCATATTAAAAATTACTATTTGACTACAACCTTTGGAGATCTCTGGAGGTTGCAGCTCAGATTTTCAGGAGGCCTTAGGTTATGTGCTTCTGATGCAAGGTCTGAGCCCACCACTGTTGTGATACCTGTTGGGAAGAAGATATCATTCTTCAAGAGTAGATTCTTCATGGTGGGGATAGAATGCAGCTTGCAGGCAAGCCGGAAGTCTAAGCCAGGATTAGCAGCAAGAGGTAGAAGGTTAAGACTGATCATTACCCAGAGACAACAGCCAGCTTGGCTGGCTGGGTGGGAAGGAAGAGTCACCTTGGAGCCCAGAAACCTTGAAAAATAGTAAGAATCCTCCCGAATCAGTATAAATGCCATTTAGCCCAGCATACTCTTATCATGCTGATCAAACAGACAGCAATGGGAATCCATATGCAGGACTTAACCACAATAGCATGTTCTTTGATGCTGTTCATGTTCCCAGCAGCTGGTATACAGGAGTCTTCTTTCTTTCATGCAATATACATCCATTATGAGAACCTTATCCTTTATTTATTTATTTCTAGGCCATCTAATTCCAAACAACTCTGGACAGTTTTACAAGATTAAAAAAACAATTCTATAAAAACAACAGATGTCCACAACACAACAGTCCAAATATTATGTAGTAGTATGAAAGAAGAAGAGAAATATCCCTTTCTTCATTTTCTCCACAGATTGTTGTTTCTCCTTCGGTAATGATGATACATGCTATTTGCCATTTTCTAAGCCCCAAACTGCCAAATATTGTAATCATTCTTAGTGGGAGAGTTGCTTCAACCCCTTGATCATTTTGTACTTTTAATATGTGCTGGCCAGAAGTAAATGTCAGCCCTTCAAGGTAGATAGACTAGGAATCCAATTTTATGTAGGTCAGTACTACTTTTACTATACTATAAGGTTGTGATAACAAAATCTTGCAAGTCTGAATGTGCTTCCCCTCTCTCTCCCTCCCTCCCTCCCTCCCTCCCTCCCTCGCTCTGCCTTTGTGAGAACTAGGAAGGGGCTTGTCTGAGATGTTTACTCAGGTTACATTTCTGCCATGGACTCAGTCCTTTTTTATCTGACTGTTGTCTTGGTAGCGGCTCTTCCTCCTGATACTCAAGGCCATTCCCTCTACAGTAATTCACAATATTTCAAGAATGGCTGCACCTTAGCTCTGAATGAAGACAATATGCTAGCTAGCTAATTATTATTGATTTATATAGATTTATGTACAGCCCAGCTCCCAAGGCCGCAGGTGGTTTACAAAAGTCAAGATTAAAAAAGATATTACTCAAGCGATATTGGAAGAGGGGTTTTTTTCAATTATTTTCTTAACAATCCTCAGTGTTCACCTATTTCCTGGCAATCATATGTTGGGTTGATATTTAAATAACATTCTCCACCAAAATCCCAAGTCCTATTTCCTGATCAGCTGTTACCAGTTCTTGGAGGATGCCTTACTCTCAGATACAGTGGGGCAAAAAAGTATTTAGTCAGCCACCAATTGTGCAAGTTCTCCCACTTAAAAAGAT